GCTCGGTTTATACAATGCTGGGGATGGAATCCAGGGCTTTGTGCGCACTAGCCAAGCGTTTTTGGCAGCCCAGCCAGCCCCATCCCCAGCCCAGACTGAAGTTCTGAAGAGCAAAAATACCACAGATGGGTTCCCAAGATAGTCAGATAGCCAGAGACATGCGTTTGTAACAGGCTTATACAACAGGGGTCATGCGCTCACTACAAAGAGAGTTTGCATCTCAGTAAGAAAATAGAAAACTAAGCACCAGGCTGGGGGTATGGCTCAGCAGGCTGTGTACACACACAGGCTGTGGGCTGGGCCTGCAGCACTACAAGAAAACAAAGACTAAGCTGGCATCGAGAGTCATACTGTAGGGCTGATGAGAAGGCTCTGTGGGTAAAGGTGCTTGCTGCCAAGCCCGAGGACCTGAGTTCTATCCCCGGGACCACGTGATGGTAGAAGAGAACCACCGGCTGCCTCAAATAATCCTCTGACCTCTACATGTATGCCATGGTACGTGCACGCATGCACACATATGCAAAGAAATGTAATAAAAAAAATAAGTGCTATTGTTAGAAAGACACTTATTTCAAAAATGCTTAATGATACAAAAAAAAAATAAAGTTCAATATCCAGTAGGTGCAGAAGACAGGCTATAAAGCAACGTCTACAGTGAGATCCCTTGTGCTAGGCTTAGCTAAGAGGCTCCAGGTTCCCTGAGCTCAGCGGGAGACCCCGCCTCAAAGGAAAAAAAAAAAAGTGGTGCTCTTGGTAAAATAAAAAGTTACTAATTAGGGCGCTGGAGCAATGGCTCAGCAGTTAAGAGCACTGGCTGGTCTTCCAAAGATCCTGAGTTCAATTCCCAGCAACCACATGGTGGCTCACAACCATCTGTATTGAGACCTGGTGCCCTCTTCTGGTGTGCATAAAGACAGGTCACTCATACACATAAAATAAATACATATAAAAAAGTTACTAATTAAATGTATACTTTATTCTATTGTTTTTGTTGGTAGCGTTTTGAGACAAAATCTTCCTAAGTGGCCCAGGCTGGCCCTGATTTTCCTGCCTCGGCCTCCCAAGTGTTGGAATTACAGGCACGTACCACAGTCTTCTCTGTAGTGGGAAGAGACTCTTGTGTTGGCTAATGGTTTCCAAGGGTCTCAACTCTTAACACTGGCAAAAGCCTGGCATGGCTGAGCATGTGACAGAGACTCCTAGCACCATGATGGACCCTTAGGCCCTGACTTTCTTTTTCTCTTCCTGGCTCCCTGGCAGCAGACTCCCACTCATGATGCCCAGGCCAGCAAGCTTTTCCTGGACTGAACCTTGGAGACATTGAGCCAAAGTCCTTTCTTCTTTTTAAAGACTTTAAAATTGCACTGTATTTACTCTCTCTCTCTCTCTCTCTGTGTGTGTGTGTGTGTGTGTGTGTGTGTGTGTGTGTGTGTGTGTGTGTGTGCCATGGCTTGTGTGTGTAGGTCAGACGACAACCCACTGCAGCTGGTTCTCAGTCTCCGCCATGTGGGTCCCAGGGTTAAACTCTAGTCGTCAGGCCTGCCAGCAAGCACCCCCTCCACGCTGAGCCATCTCACTGTCCCATCTCCGTCCTTTGTTTATGGCTGGAGCTGGAGAAAAGGACCAACAGCACACACCACTCTTGCCCGGGGCCAGAGTTCTATTCCCAGCACCCAGGTCAACCGCCTGGGACACCATGTTACAACCACGTGTGACTCCAGTTCCAGGAGATCTGACATCCTCTCCTGGCTTCTAAGAGCAGCTGATTCGTGTACGTCATAGCATATCACACATACATACACACGATTAAAATGAATCATTTTTAAATGATATTTAACATAGCCATTTTGTCACAGTGGCAAAACTAACAGTCAAAAAAATCAACATGGAAACACACTCTAATCAAACTTGGGCAAACAAGCTCACCCTGGTGGCACAGACCTACAAACCCAGCACTGAGGAGGAGCAAGGGTTCCATGTCACCCTCTACTTACAATGGATTTGGGGTCAGCCTGGGCTATGTGAGTTTAGTCTCAAAATAAAACACAATAAAATAACTTCTGAAAATTGAGCCTTGCGGTGGTAGCACATGCCTTTAATCCCAGCACCCGGGAGGCAGAGGCAGGCGGATCTCTGTGAGTTCAAGACCAGCCTGGTCTCCAGAGCGAGTGCCAGGATAGGCTCCAAAGCTACACAGAGAAACCCTGGCTTGAAAAACCAAAACAAAAAACTTCTGAAAATTAAAAATCTCCAAATGAGTGCCAGCAAGATGGCTGTGAATAAAGGACTTGTTGCCATACTCGACAAGAGTTTGTTCCCTGGGACCCACCAGGTAGAAGGAAAACTAACTCCTGCCAGTTGACCTGGTATCCTGTTAACAATACCCACGTGAGTGGCTGTGTCAAAACTCTGCTGGTTTCATAAAAGCCATTGGGAGGTTTTTCCTCCTCCTCCAGGAACTGAAATGCTTTGACCAGTTCTGGCATGATTGTGTTCAGGGAGAATGGAGTGACTCCCTCTCACGTTGACTTGGGAGGTTTATTTTCTATTCATTTATTTTTTCACAACTATTTGTGTGAGTGGGTGATGGGTGCTGAGAATTGAATACAGAACGTTGAGTGTGCTAGGTAGGGGCTCTACCACTGAGTCACGCCCCCAGCCCCTCACTGGGGGATTCTAGGCAGGGGCTCCCCCACTGAGCCACACCCCCAGCCCCTCACTGGGGGATTCTAGGCAGGGGCTCC